AGACAAAAGGTCATTCTGATGAGATGTCAGAATTCCAAGAGCTCTAGAAATCTTCTCTAGAGCCACCTCTGTGATTTTTTTCATATCCAGATGCTCCAGCTTAGGACAGAGCTCTAAAATCTGCCTCACCGTTTTGCGGGAAACTGCAGAGCTGTATGCCAATACTAGAGTTTTTACAGAAGTACCAACATATGGCAGAACATTATGAATGAAGCCATGGAGTAAACGTTTTTCTGCTTGTGCAATGCTGATAGCAATCGATTCCTCTGCAGACTCTTCAGATTCATCTATATCGGCATCTTCGCATCATTCCCGAAAAGCACGACTTTCATCCTTTCCACTTTCACCCATCCTCATCAGGTGCAGTATCAAGTCCAGTTGCAGGGCCACGATACCAGTCACCTCCGACCCCGTGAACAGGGTAAAGACGCTTCCAAAGCGATCCAGTCTTCGCCAGCTGAGACCATTTGGTGCTTCCCTGACTGCAGCGACGTAACTCCTGAGGATGAAGATAGCTGAAAATTGACAGCATTACCTCAGGAGGAAGATGGATTATACCCGTGGATCCGTCTGACACCTCTGCTTCTTTATCTGACTTTTCATCCACAGAATATTTAAAGAACTTCTGTCGCTCTTCAGCTTGATGCCACAGGCTAAGACCTCTAAGGGGTTCTGCGGTATCCTTTTGAGAGCAATGTTGTGCAATCACTTTCTTTTTAATATCCTTAAGCTCTTCATAGGTAAAATATTCCATTAACATGGGCTGAAAAACCTCCTCTTCTTCTTTCATATGAAGAAAAAAATCTCTTGTAAATGCCTCCAATATCTCAGCTGTTTCTCAGAATTCAACTGCTCATATCCATTCTTAACATTCTTCAGTCCCTTTTCGAAGAGGCTAAGCATCTCAGAGTTTGTTGTCAGAATGTACATTATAAATGGTCTGGCTGCGTCGTTGAAGCAAACCAATAATGTATCCATTTTCAATCTGCTCATGCATTTTGAACTCCTTAAAAGTAGCATACAGAGACTGCAGAAGAGCACGGAAATCGTTGTTGTTGGAAAAGTTGGTTTTAGAAAGCTTGTCGCAGGATAGCCCCACCAGCTGCTTCATCCGCCAGTGCGGGGCGGTGAACACGTCCACCTCTTCAGGGAGGGGCGCCATCGCCGCTGCCCCAGCCTCCGCGTCAGCAGCCGCCTCTCCCTCTGATCAGTAGGTTAGCTTGCTGCCGGGTTCCAGCCAATCAGGACTGAGTGAGACAGGCCAGACATGCCCTGGAGCCCTCCCACAGTCTCTCCCCGGCCCCAATCATGCACCCGTAGGGTCCCTCTGCCTGGCCTGTGCCCTCTCCCAATCCAGGACCCCTCAGGAGATGTCGGAGAGCTGGTTTCGGCCAGATCCCGCAGGACAGGCCAAGGGACGCCACTGGTACATGAATTTGTGCACTGGGCCTCTAGTTTAAACATAAGAACAGGAATTTAAGGCACAGGAAGTGCTCTGGATGGTTTGGCTCAGTAATTACAGCATCAGCCCTCGGACCAAACGGTTTCCGGTTCGATTCCTGGTCAAAGTCATGTACCTCTGTTGTAGATTCCTCAGCCCCAGTAGGCTCACATCGATGTTTCTCTCTCTCCCCTCCTACCTCCCTTCCACTCTCTCTAGAAATCAATGGAAAGAATATCCTCGGTTGAGGATTAAAAAAATAAAAAAGCACAGGAAGTGAAATAGATAATTGGCCCAAATGGTCAGGTATTGAAATCAACCTAAATTTCGAAAACAAAGGCGCCTCAGTGCGGGGCGGTGGCCTGGCTCCTGTCATGGCCACGGTGTGTATTGAAGCGGTTGCCTCTGCGATCAAAGCCTAAATCAGGCACTGGCATCACAAAAGAGAAAGAACCTACACTCAGGCTTACACTAGGGTCCAGTGAACCCCTGTGGACAATGGCTGACATACAATGTGAGCATCCTCTGTGCCAGCCATGCTTCTGAGAATATCTACCCGGGCTCAGCCCCTGCGAGGCAGCGAGAGCTCAGAGCGGCTGAGGCGCTTGCTGCTCTCCCACAGGCAGTGAGTGCCGGAGTCAGGAGGTGGCCTCAGGCAGCTTCCTCTAGAGCAGCGCTTCTCAACCTGTGGGTCACGACCCCTTTGGGGGTCGAACGACTCTTTCACAGGGGTCGCCTAAGACCATCCTGCATATCAGATATTTACATGACGATTCATAACAGTAGCAAAATTACAGTTATGAAGTAGCAATGAAAATAATTTTATGGTTGGGGGTCACCACAACATGAGG